AGGTTGTAGAGACTGTGTTTAATTCCACTTCAGGAAGTTCCAAACCTAAACTATTGAAGGAGCTGAAGTCCCTTGGTCCATTGGACTATTCTTTGAAGAGCGGGAAGGTGGAAGGTGTGAATAAGAGAAGGAGCGGGGGTCCTTCCCCCTCTGTGGTTAAATGAGTTCCATTACTTTTTGGAACTGCAGAGGGGCAAATAAAAAGGAAGCCTCTCGTTATTTCAAAAAAGTTGTGAAAGACTGGGAGTTTTTTATCTCTTCTGTTGTTAAGGGAGTATTTTGTGAATTCATGGATAAGGAATGGGACTTTTTTATTTACCCTTCTAATGGATTGTCAGGTGAAATTATGGTTGTGTTGAATTCTAAGTTGGCTTCTTTCTCTGTTCTTAATAGTTCTCCTCCATGTGTTATTTGGGAATTGAAGTGTGTTAAGAATAATAGCACTTGGGTAATCTCCACGGTATATGACAGCAGAGATTTATACAATAGAAGGAGGTTGTGGGAAAGTTTGGAATTGTACTCTAGCTCAAGCCTTCCTTCAATCATAGGGGGGGATTTCAATTATATCTTTTCCTAAGAGGACAAGAGGGGAGGAAAGAAGTTTAAATTTTCAATTGGTCCTCAAAAAATAAAAAATCATTTATGAATAATAATGATTTCCATGATGTGGGGTTAGTTGGGCCCAAGTTAACTTGGTGTAATAATAAAGTTGGCAGCGCTCAGATTTTGGAAAGACTTGATAGGTGTTTATTGATCTCCAAAGCACTTTAGCTAATTCAGCAAGCAACCATGAGGCATTTATCAAGAATTGCATCTGATCATTACCCGTTAGTGTTGAAAATCTCCAATTCTGGTTTGCAGAAGAATAGACTACTCAGGTTTGAGGACATCTTGGTGTCTTACCCAGCTTCTGCTATAGTAGTGCGGAGGTCATTAGGTAAATCTTTGGATGGCAATCCAATGGAAATTCTGAACATGAAATTTCAGAGGTCATTGAGATCTTTATATTTCTAGAGTAAAGTGAAAGTTCAAGATTTATTTGGACTTACGGAAAAGTTGAGAAAGGAGATAGCTGATCTTCAGTTGGAGGAAGCTAATGATGGTGGTTTATCTGATGAAAAGCTCTTGGTTATGAGGTTTAAGGTTAATGAATTTAATACAACTCTGGCTCGCCAGAACACCTGGTGGAGACAAAGGGCAAAGGTGAAATGGTTATAAGATGGTGATAAGAATTCCAAGTTATTTCATACAGTTGTAAATGGTAGGAGAAATGCCAGTTTTATTAATCAAGTGAAGGATGAAGAGGGTAATATGGTTGATGATCAGAAGAGTATTGAAGAAATATATTTCAAATTCTTCTCAAACAAATGGAGGGAGAGGGATGGTATGCTGAGAGGATGGACACCATTCCAATACAATCTATGTCAGGAAGATTGTAGTCTTTTGGATGCTGATATCTCCTTTCATGAAGTGGAGTCTATGATAAATTGCTTAGGTAAGAATATTTCTCCTGGAACTGATGGTATCACTTATTCATTTTCAAAGCTTATTGGAATATTATAAGTCAGGATGTTTGGGTTGCAATACTTCATTTTTTTTTCTTCGGAAAAAATGTTTGCTAAGTGGAAGGAGACACTTGTTATTATAATCCCCAAGGTTAAAAATCCAGTTCTTCCTTCCCACTTTCATCCTATTAGTTTGTGCTTATCTATTCATAAGATTGTGGCTAATGTCTTATTAAATAGACTTATGAAGGTTATTCATAAATTAATTTCGAATGTTCAAGTTGCATTCATTAAAGGATGGGCTCTTTCAGATAATATTATTCTTGTTTAAGAACTTTTCAATAAGTTTAGACATTCTAAATCTAAAAAGGGTTTGGCGGCGATTAAAATTGTTATGGAGCAAGCTTATGATAGCATGGCTTGGTCAACCCTTAAGCATGTTATGGAATCTTTTGATTTTCAAACTCAATTTTCTAATATTGTGATGGAATGTATAGTAGATCCTTATTTCTCTGTTCTTATTAATGGTAATAAATCTGAGTGGATTGAAGCTAAAAGTGGCTTCAGGCAAGGTTGCCCTCTTTCTCCACATATGTTTATTCTTTATTCACAGCTCTTATCCAATGCATTTATTCACAAGAGGAGACATTTGGGAATCAAAGCTACTCCTAATGCTCCTAAGATCAATCATTTGCTGTATGCTGATGATATTCTGATGTTCTCTGAAGCCAAATACATATATGTGAAGAAAATCAGAAGAATTATTGCTGATTATTGCCTATGGACAGGGTAGGTTGTCAACATAAAGAAATCTAGCATTTTTTTTGGTAAATCTGTTAGTCAGAGTAATATAAGGGCCATCTTGAACTTGATAAGATTCAAGGAGGTTAAGGAGTTGGTTTATTTGGATATTAAAATGGCATTGAGAAGGATAATATGTGCTGATTTCTTATATCTCTTGGAAAAAGCTGCTAGCAAGTTGAGTGTTTGGGGGAACACACACATTTCTTTAACAGGGAAATTGGTTTTGATCAGACTAGTTATTCTATCTATATCAATTTTCTTTGCTTCACACTCTCTGGTACCTCTATGCATCCAGAAAGAAGTGGATAAGATGTGTAGGGAGTTTTTTGTGGAATAAGCAAGGAGGCAACCATGGGTTACATTATGTGGCTTGGAATGAGCTTTGTAAACCGTTGGATCTGAAAGGTTGTGGATTGCATTCAACAGAGTCTATTGTTAGCCCTCTATGAGCAAAGTTTGCATGTAATTACTTTAAATATCCCGATTCTCTTTTAAATAGAACATTGAAGGCAAAGTATGGTGATTTTTGGGATAAAGGATATCAGAGAAACAATTCTAACACCAGTAAAGTGGTTTCAAGTGGGATGAGAGCTCTTCAGCTGGTTGTAAGATAGAATGTGGCTTCAGGTTCTTCTATAAACATTCTAAAGGATGTATGGATCTTAAATAAAAGCTTGGTTAGATGACCAACCTTTATAGCTGTGTTGGATGAGGATTTCCTGTCTCTTGAGATGTTCATTGATGATGGAGGTTGGAACCATGCCGAGTTGCAGAAATGGTTTGGCCCTTGTTTAATTGAGGTTATAGCGCAGATAAAAATTTACCCAGAAAATTCTCAGGATAAATTGGAGCTAATTTACAAGTTTTCTGGTAAACCTATTGCTTCCTTAGTTACTAGAACAAGGTTAAAGAATTTGGAGAGGGAATATTATGGGAGTTGTATGAAAAAAACTACACTTATCTCCAAAGGTGAATTATTTTTGGTGGCGGGTATTTAAGAATGAAATTCCTACAAATGACTTCTTATTGTATAGAAGATTGACAGATTACAATTCTTGTCCAAGAGGTTGCAAGATTGTTGAAAATCTAGATCACATTGTGGCTAACTGCTCCTATGTTAAACAAGCTATTGTGTTGCTGAACAGGCGGGTTTTTCTAGTTCTGACTTTGTCTTCATTTGTGGAGTGTAAGAGTAGAATGGAGGAGCTGTTAGGAGGTAATCAATTTATAGGAAACCTGTATTGCTTTCTAGTTTTTCTTTTGTGGGGAAGTAGGAACCATGTAAAGCATGGAGATAAGAAGCTTGGTTTGAGCTTCATTGCATCATAAGCTATTAGTATTGCTTCCATTGCATTGAATTTTAATCTATTTTTGATCACTGGGGTGTTAACCAGCTCAGGCTGTCTCGGCACCCTCCTCCTCCTGAATGAATTAAAGTGAATATTGATGCGACTCTTTTACAATCTCTTGAAGTTGGCATTGGCGACGTTTTTTTTAGGGATCATAAGGGCAGGTTCTTAGCTGCTTTTGGTTACAACTGTACTCATTGAGATATCGAGTATATGGAATTGTTAGCTTTTTTATCCTTGAAGGAGGTCATTAAAGATTGGATGATGGAAGTTAAAGGTATTATAATTAAGGGAGATAATTACAATGTCTTGAAGCATTTACAAGGATCGGTTGACAAAACTTATTCAGAGATAAATAAGGCAGAAGTTGAGGACTTGTCTTTTCTGAAAGATTTTGGTATTTTTTTAATTTCATTTTACTTAAAGAAATTATAATAAGTTACCTGATTGTTGTTCTAACTTGGCTTTAGAAGATGATTTTTTTTTTTGGATAGGCTAGATTGTAATAAGGTTCCTCCTATTTTTCTTGATTTGTTAAAGTAGTAATGTGATAATTGTTCTATCACTTAGTAGTTTGTATTAGTCTTTGCTTTTCAATTTAAATGCTATTTGCATTTCTTCAATAATAATAATAATAATCAAGGCTGTGAAAATCGGACCGGACAACGAACCGGAAGAAAGAGAGGTTCACGGTTCGACCGGTTCAACCGGTCTAACCGGATGACATAATAAATAATAAATATTATTAAAATTTAATAAAATTAACATAATAATAATGTTATCATTCAAAGTTTGAGGCAAAAAATTAAATTAAAAAAAAACGATGAAACATAAATTTTATATAATTAAGTAAAAGAATTATATTAAAATCTCACATAAAAGAAAAAAATTCTAAATCTCATATTTATAAGAATTTACACTCATAAAAATATGATAATTTTAAATTTAAATATTTTTTGAATTTTAAATTTAATTTTTAATGTAAATTAAATTTATATATAACCATATAATTTAATATAAATACATATTTAATATAAATTTAATTATAACATAAGTTTATAAATTTAATATAAATTATTCTTATTTTATATTATATGATTAAATATATTTTACATGTTTATGTTGTATACCAAATTTCTTTTATAAATTTATATCTTAAATAATTAATAAATAATTAAATACATAAAATTATTAATGATAAATTATTTTACCGGCCTGTCCGGTCCGATTTTTAAAGCACTGATGATAATAATAATAATAATAATAAAATAAAAACAATCTAAACTTAGTAACTGAATTTTTAAAATTTTCATAGGATTTTTTTTTTATTGGTGAAGGGTCGTACAGTTCTTGCGGCGGGTGGAGCAATTTGCCGACGGCTTACGTCCGTTTAAGGTTCGGTTGGAGATGATCTCATCTCCGGCCTTCATCACCTCAGCGGTATTCCTATGCTGAGCTCGATCCTCAATTGTTCCGTCCTCACTCACTCTCCCCACCCCCTCTCTCTCTCTCTCTCCTCCCCCTGGATTCTAAGCTGTTTTTGATATCTCGAATCAAATTTCTCTGATCGGCTTGCGTTTAAATCAAGGGCTATTAATTTGTTCCCCGTGAAGGCAAAAAGGCCTGGATCTCAGCTCAGTTCCTCGGATTCGAGGACAAGCACGATTTCATTCTGTTCAATCGCTGCATATAAAAGGTATGCTTTCAGGGTTTTCTTCATGTCCTTTTGTCGGGCCTTCCATCTTCTAAAAACATTGCCTAACTTAACCCTCTCGTGCCGTTAGATTAGTTTTTTTTTAAACAACCCGCCATTTCTTCAATGTTTAGCAAATCTTATGTGAATCATACGGTTCAGTTGTTAAAAGTCTTTACTTCAATCTTCTTTTGAGATTCATTACCTATTTAAATTCTGCATGTTCTCATGACTTCCTTTTGCCTCCGTATTTTGAACCTCTGCAATGGAGCTCCAACTATATATTCCTTTTATGAAAAAAAGTAGTCACGTACCCCTGTTGCAAGGAAGGATAGACTAGAAAAAAATAGAATTAATTGTAAAATCAGTTTGCCAATTAAAACTTTAATATTATATTTTAAGTCGTTAACCATGAACAATAAATATGAAATTAGCTGAAATACAACTATACTCTTCTGTATCTGTTATTAGACCGCAAATGTTAGTTAAAAAAAATACAATATTAAATATAAATACCATGATTATAGGAATTTAGTATGAACAATTGAATATATTTTGAGGAATTTTATAATCGCGTATGCAAACCAAAAAAGAGAGAATTATCATATATGCTATCGATGGTATTATTAAATTGTGTCTTGAAGCCTTGATATTCTAAAATAAATACCAATCAGTTCCCTAGACAAAATCTAGGCCATTCAATTAATCAAAAGATTCAAATTCACAAAACATTAAACTTTCTTCAATTTCACAAAAGACTCTTTAATCCTTATCCTTTGAGGGTCTCCATTTTTTTCTGGACTTTCTGCTCTACATTTCAATACGAATAAAATTTCTAAAACTATCTGAAATCTCTATTTCATGGTTTGCTACAATAACCATCTCCCTACACATAAATCTCTCTCTCACTTGTAGAGATGGAAAAACAAAAAAAACATTAAATTTTTATCCTTGATCAAGGTTTAAAATTGCGCAATTGGTTATTGAGGTGCTTTTTGTTTGTGAGGCGAGGCGTAAGCCTCAAGGCGTTTTGAGACGTAAGCCTCAAAACCAAAAAATTGCGTTAAGTCAAAATAAATGTCTAATGTGATTTTTTATATTATGCTCGAATAATATGTTAAAAAAAGATATGTTACATTTTCTTTATTGAATTATGAAGTAACAAATTGACATACATATGAAATAAAAAATTGCATAAGACATAAAGTGGCAAGTGATAAATTACATGAAATAGATTTGAAATTCAAACATTATAATAACAAAATAATATTAAATATATGAATGACATAAAAGTATCATAAAATATCAAGTTCAACTCCAAATTCCTTCTCTCTTAGTTTCCTACTCATCCACATTATATTCCTCAAGAAAACTGAAATAGTTGACAAAAACTTAGATTTCATCTTTTTTATTTTGAGAAAATGCAAAGAGCATAAATTTTTATTAGACCAGTTAATTACAAATAAACTCCTTCTTCAACAGATGAAGAAAAGGAGGGATACTATTCTCATTCAGATCTTTCCAAAAAAAATCTGAAATAAGAGCATGGTTAGCACACATGTCGGCTAACTTATTACAATATCTACTAGCATAAGAAAAAATAACTTGCTTAAAATCTTTAAGAAAATCTAAATCCTTAGGATTTAAATATTCTTCTGAAATGGAATTATTTTGAAGAGCTCTTTGAAAAAGAACAATAACGTTGTGATTATCACCTTCAATCATGAAGCCTTTAGCGTCAAGCATCCAGTCTTGAACGTACTTTCTTAAGGAAAGAATAGAATGTATTTTAGCTTGAGCACTATCCCAATGATTAATGCTGAAACCAAATGCTCCACAAAATCTTCCTTTGTCGTCTCTGAAAACACCTCCTATTCCAGCTAAATTATTACTGTATAGTGAAGCATCAACATTGCATTTGATCCAACCTGGAGGTGGAGGAAGCCAAGCTTTCAAACCCAGCACAAAGTGCTGATTAGCTTCCCAGATATTCCAGACCGGATTCTTATGGAAAGAACCAAATGCATATTCTAATGCATTAGCTGCTAACAGATAAGAGCTATCTTCTTTGCCACCATGGATCAATTTGTTTCGGCTTTTCCAGCAGCAAAAGATTACCGAACAATATAAATTTCCAATAATAGGATTCTGAACCGAGAGCCTCATTAGTTCTTTCACGCAATCATCCAAAGAATTAAAGGCAGGCAACTGAAAATTCCATTTCTTCAGCTTGTCACAAACATATTTGATAATATCACAATTAACAACTATATGTTCCGAGTCTTCCATGCTTTTACACAGTCTTGGACATTCATTATCTTCAATAATACCTCTATGATGAAGAAAGCATTTCGAAGGTAAAGCATTAATACAAAGACGCCACCAAAATTATTCAACTTGAGGTCTTAGTTTGAGATTTTTAGTCCATGTCCAGTTAAGAATATACATGTTCTGTTCTCTAGTTTTTTCGTAAGCCATAGCAGCAACTGATTTACCCGAACATTTTGAAATAAATTCCAGACAATCACTATCTGAATTTGTGAATATGGGTACTTGACAGATTAATGAAACAAGCTATAAACCGAAGAATTTCTTTAAGTAGTCAACATTCCATTCACCATTTCTAATGAATGCTGAAATATTTTGACACTGTTGATCTATTATGGATGTAAAAGTAGGCCACTTATTTAAGCATCTATCCATAATCCAAACATCATTCATAATATTCACATCTTGTCCATTACAAATCTTCCATCTCAAGAGAGGGATTAAGTAATTAGCTCCATTCAAAATAATTTTCCATGTAGAAGAGGAATAGCATCTATTTCCACTTTCCCATATGTCATTCCCGTATTTGGCAGACAACGTTTTATTCAATAATGATGAGGGATTTGAAATAAAATTGAGACCCAATTTAGCTCTTAAAGGTCCAATTCTATCCAACATCGATTGCACTCCTCTACCACCTTTGCATTTTGGTTTGCAAATAACATTCCAAGCTACAAAGTGAATACCAAAATTTTCGTCTCTTTTATTCCATAAAAAGTTTCTGCACATCTTATCTATCTCTTTTAGAATACTCAAAGGAATAAGAGATAGAGTAGATGAAAAATTGGCAAGGAAAGGAACGAAGCATTTAGTAGCACAATTTTTCCAGCTAATGAAATGAACTTGTTTCCCCACATATTAACTTTGGCCACAGCTTTTTCAATTAAATAATTGAAGTCTTATTTAACTAGTCTTCTTAATACTATCTTAGTACCAAGAAACTCCAACTCTTTCTTAACTTTAAAATTCATTATTTTAGAAAGAGTTCTAATTGAACTTCTAGAAATGAATTTGCTAAAAATCAAAGAAGACTTGCCTGAGTTCACTTGTTGCCCTGTCCACCTGCAGTAATTTTTCAAGATTTCAGAAATAGTCTTCAAACTCTTCTTTTTAGCCTCTGAAAAGTGATTATATCATCTGCATACATAAGGTGAGAGATCAAAGGAGCATTAGGAGAAATTCTCATCCCAATATTACCTCCTATCCTTGTAAATTCTTCTGGTAAAAGTTGGGAGACATGATAAAGAGGTAAGGAGAAAGTGGACATCCTTGTCTAAATCCACATTTAGAAACAATCCAATTTGAGTATTTTCCATTAATCAATATGGAAAATTTTGGATTCATCACAAATTCCATAATAAGTAATGAAAATTTAGAAGGAAATCCAAACCAATGAAGCACTTGATTTAGAGTAGACCAACTCATGCTATCGTAAGCTTGCTCCATGTCAATTTTAATAGAAACAAATCCCTTTTTAGATTTGAAAAATCTAAATTTGTGAAATAGCTCTTGTGCTAGAAGAATTTGATCCGACATAAGTCTCCCTTTCACAAAGGCATATTGAACTTCAGAAATAATTTTTGGAAAAAGATTACTCATTCTATTTAATATCATGCTGGCCACAATTTTGTAGATTGTATTACACAAACTAATGGGTTTGAAATTAGAAGGTAATACAGGATTGTTGACCTTAGGGATGAGCACCACATTAGTATCTTTCCAATCCGAGCACATAGAACTAGTTTTGAAGAACATATTAACAGCATTCCACAAATCATTGTGTATAATATGCCAATAAGCTTTGATAAAGGAGTAAGTAATTCCATCTCTCCCCGGGGCTTTATTCGAACCCAATTTCTTGACAACCGCTTCCAATTCTTCTATAGAAAAATCTTTATCAAGCATTATAGAATCTGCAGCTACAATTTTTTTAGAACAAGGAGGCCAATTATTCAAAGAGCAAACTCTACTCCTCCATTTGTTTTTAAAGAAATTCAAAAACAGTTCTGAAATTTCCTCCTGATTTTCAATCAATAAGCCAGCTTCATTGTTAATATGGTTGATCCAATTAAAGTTTCTCCTTGCTATAGCTGAAACATGAAAAAATTCGAATTACAATCTCCTTCTTTTAGCCAACGAGTTTTGGTTGGATCTTTGCCTCCACCATGTGCATAACCGTCCAAGTGTTGCATTCAATTCCCGAACTTTGGATCTCAACAGGTCAATTTTCAGATCAGAGATAATTCCCGTTGATGACTCTTCTTCTTGTAGCTCCAATATTTCATTCTTTAAACTGTTTTTCAATTCTGTTAAGCTCTTGTGCTTGGCTTTATTCCAAAAAAACAGGGCTTTTATGGAACGTCTGAATTTACTATTCAGAATAAAAATCTGCTTTGCCTCCTGAAGGTTTATTCCAAGCATACCAGACCACCGAGTGAGAAGCTGGATAAGAAAGCCAGATATCTTCAAATCTAATCTCAGATTTTGATTTTTATGAACTTATGTAGAAGAAATCCTTAACATCAGTACTGGACAATGGTCAAATGCAATACGGGCTAGATGTTTAACCACTGCAATTTTTAAGTGATTTAAGGATGTGCAGTTAAGAATGCATCGATCTAATCTCTCTAAGATCCGGGCATTACCTGATTTATTGTTACACCATGTAAACATGGGACCAATAAATCTAGTGTCATGAAAATCACAATCTCTCAAAAATGAAAGCATGTCTTGAGCTCCTTGTGTTAAAGAAAATTTTTTTCCTCCTTTTTTATCATCTTGAGATAAGATGCAATTGAAGACTCCTCCCATAACCATAGGAAATTTAGATGTTTTAAATTTCTCCAGATTGTTCCAAAGGATTTTTCTTTCTCCAATATCTGTGATGCCATAGATAGTTGCTATAATCCAAGATTTTTTGTTTGCAATGCTTAATTCTCCCACAACTAGCTGATTATTAGATTCCATAACAGAAAACTTGGCCAAATCCGACCTCCAACACACCATAATGCCACAAGATAAACCTCTAGCTGAAAATAAATATAAATCCCATAATTCTCCTATAAATCTTTTGAACTCCAAAGAGTCTATAGAAGAAATTTTAGTCTCAATAAGACCCACAAAAATTGCATCATTATCCTTTATAATATCTTTCAGATATCGGGAGGCCTCAGCTTTTCTAGCCCCCCTACAGTTCCAGAATATAAAAGAGCTCATTTTGGAATAGAAGTGGGAAAAGACGCACTACCTTTCCTTTTGATCAACTCTCCTTTCCTGAGTTTTGAAGGTAAGCTAACATTACCTAAAGATTTCAATTCCTTTTGGAGCTTGAATTTGATATTAGTTCGAATCCTTGCTGTGACTGGAGTGGAAGATATCTCTATGCCATCTTCAATATCTTCTTCAAATTTATCAAGTTTCTCATCAATGTCTTTATCATAAACTACCGAATGATTGGTAATATTCATGATATTGAATGAATTAGGAATCACAGTAGACTTGATTTCTGCATCATCATTTAAAATTTCCAAAACCTGATGTTTTTCTTCCTTATCAATTAAAGACTTTGCTTTGGTAGAAATCTCATTACCCTCTTCATTCACATGTTTCAGTAAGAAGAACTTGTTTTCTTTGTCATTAACTTTAGGAATTTCCATACTAATAGCTTCTTTTGATACCAAATCAGCAGAATTGCTGATTGAATTCAGTTCAACATTTTCTGTTTGAGTTATAAGACCAGACTTATGATAGGGAATACCTGAGTTCGCAAGTAATCCATTAGGATTTACTTGAGTTCGCAAGCAACCCTTCCCCTATGTAGTAATTGAAATAGAAGAAAAATTTTTCTTCTCCAAGTAGCCATCCTGAAGACTGTCCATAATATTAAAGTTGTTCTTCACAGCTATTACAGAATTCTGAATTTCAGAATTACAGTGTGATTCAATTATTTCACCTTCTTCTATAATGGATTGCAACAAAGCTGGAGGATCTTTATGAAGAGCTGAATTTTGTTTAGGAGGATTCTTCCCAAAGGCTTTGTTCTTCTTGAGTTTAACCTGAATCCAAGGACCTAATTCATCTTGTCCATTGGAATATCCTTCTTCATGATTCAAATTTTTTTCAGCAGCATTTTTCTTAGGAGCAACTGTTATAGAAGGACATTTGTTCTTCAAATGGCCAATTTTTCCACAGTGGAAGCAAAGAGAAGAAATCTTCTCATATTCTAGTTTTTGGAAGGATATACCATGCTTTCCTTCAATCCAAACACCTCTTGGTAATTTTTTATCAAGATCAATGCGAACACATACACGAGCATATTCCCTCTTTCCCCATTTAAAAGAGTTGCCATCTAGATATAAGGGAGCTCCTATCATAGATGCAATTCTACAAATATTTTGTTCATCCCAGCAGTGTAGAGGTAGACACGGCATATGAATCCAAATAGGTGCTGTAAGACCTTTAAGAGATTTAGGTGAGAAAGTGGGGGACCATCTATCCAAACCAATGATGTTACCTCCAATGAACCAAGGACCTCCTTCAAGTACTTCATCCACAGCATCTGGATTGGTAAAAGAGCATAGGATCCAATCAAGACCCAAGGTGGTTAGATGAAATTTCCCAAATCTGAACCATTGCTTTCAGAGCTCTCTGCTGCAGACTAGGAGTGGAATATAACTTCCCAAGACTTTGATAACCAATGAGTTTCTCAAAACGTATGAATTAACATTTTCCATATCTTCATTCATAATAACATTAATCCCGTCATCAGTAACAAGAGTAGAACTCAAATCATAACTGAGTTTGATGTGATGTGTCTTCATCCAAGCTTTAGGAACTCTATCTGTAGCGCCATGTTCTGAATTTTTTGTCATATCTTCACCAGAAACCTTATCACCAACTACTGCTTGCAAAAAACTCTTAGCCGGCAAATCAGAGCAGAGATTAGAAGGATGCTTATCATTTGAATGAGAAGAATTGTTAATAATACTCTGGTTATTCGCATTTATCTCTGGCCATAGGTCAGAGATTGCATTTGAACAACTAAACTTATTAACAAAAATCTTCACATTCGATGATGAAGCTTCCACATCATTAAAATTCTAATTCAAATCTGCTTTATATTTTTTAAGGCTCGGAGTATTAATAGCTGGAAGATTCAAAATACCTTTGCCTTTGCCTACCACTAATTCATCTTTCTTCTTCGCAGGTGACTCGCTTTCCTCTCTGATAATCAGAGGTCTTGCAGAATTTTTGAAATGGACGATATCATCAACCAATTGCGGGATCGAATCATCAACTAATCTGATTTGTCCCTCCAAACCTTCAGTAACGATAGACACGCCGACCAAAGATCGGCGGTCCTCCTCCGTCATCGCCAAGGGCCGGCGGTGGAGGAAGCAGAAAAACTGGGAATTGAAAATTCAAAAAAATCTGCCTGTTTCTCTCTCTAACGGCTGTTTCTCTCTCTCAACTTAGATTTCATCTGCACAGTCATCACTAAGGAGGTTTTTATATAAGCCGTCATCTTAATAACAAATTGGTCTCTCTCTTCTCTCATCCTATGGAGTCCAATGTCTCCGAATTTGATTCTTCTTTGTTTATTTTAATCATCTTTTTCTTTCATAATTTTTTTTCATTAATATAAATATGAGATTAATACTCTTAAAATTTTAAAGTAAGTGGTGGTGTTTTTTTATTTTCAAGTGATCCCTCGCGGCTACGATGTTATTGACTATGGAGAAAATGGAGGATTGGAGGTCAAGGAAGTCGAAAGGAAGTTGTTGCAGGTTGGGGTTGTATTAAAGCGTGATTTTTTTTAGGCTTTAATTTCTGATTTAGTTAAGTTTTAATAAAAAATATATATAAACAGGGTGAGGGGTAAGCCTCACGTTAGCATGGCGTGGTGTGCCTCAAGGCGGGCCTCAGCTTGCCTCAGCCAAGCTGAGGCGCAATCCTCATAAACAAAGTTTGTTGCGTAAGCCTCGATGCATTTTTCATTAGAATTGTGTTGAGGCGGGCCTCAACGCGAGCCTTATATTGAACAATTTTAAACAATGTCCTTGATTCTAGCAAATTCTCCAATCATGTGGTTCACAATGTTCCCCTTATTGGTTGCTTCAATAAGTATCATTTCCTCTAATTATTTGATGTGGTGCCTTATCACCTGATCAACTTACTCCAACAAACAATATTTCGTTTCTCTGCAGCACTAAACCTCATTGTTCTTTTTGTTTTTTTTCAATAGAGTATATTTTTACCTTACTAATATTAGAAAACTTATAGTAGAGTATATATATATATAGGGATGAATTAGAAGGGGAAACTAGTACTATTTCCCCTATTTTTTTGCTTATATTTGTTTACTTGGCTACTTGTTTTTGCTATTGTGTTGTTGCCTGAATGGTTTCCACACCAATTGGTATCAGAGCCTCATCGACATGGTCTAACATAATAAGGCAGAAGATAGTCACCGGGCGACTCAGGAAGAAGATCAGAACTTGGATGCTGTGTGGACGGCACAAACAAATGACGTGAAACAGTTGGGGGATCTCTCGGCAGGTTCCTTCTCTTTGCTATAGAAATGAGGGAGGTGATTCAAGCCATCAATATTGGTAATGGCACCAACGTGAATCCTTGACGTGCAGTTCCAACAACTATATTGACAGCTGCACGAGGGGTAATGTTCGAACGTTCATTGAAAATGAACCAAGATTTATTTCCAGAACTCTCAGATTCGGATGGAGATTACGAATATAGGAAAACATTCAAAGTTTTCGATTCAGAAGATGGAGATTATATGGATAATAATGTGGACAGGCGCACGTGAGACCTATTTCATCTCCACTAAGGTGAATTTCGAGTTAAATTGGATATCCCATTTTTTGATGCACGATTGCACAATGAAGGAGAGAGCAGTAAAAGCTTTCTTTGAATACATGAGATTGAACGAGACAAACATGTGAAGTACATGGCTTGCTGATTGAAGGGTGGTGCTAGTGCGTGGTGGATACAACTGTTGCAAACTCGAAGGCGTGAAGGAAAAAGAGCTGTTAGGAGCTAGTATAAAATGAAACAATTGATGAGGGGTTACTTCTTCCCAACCGATTTTGAACAAATGCTCTATTTAACATACCAACATTGTGTGCAAGGAAATTATTCTGTGAGCGAATACACTGAAGAGTTCTTTAGGTTGAGTGTTCTCAATAATCTTAATGAATCTAACAATCAATTAGTTGCTCGATATATTGGAGGGCTCAAGGATGTTATAGAAGACAAGATAGAACTCAATATGGTTGGTCGCTTTCCCAAGTCGCGGATTTTTCTTTCAAGGCAGAGATGCATCTGCTTAGACAATCTAAAAGTTCATCCAACCGCCGTCATTATAGTAAGCATGCTACAGATTCCAAAAATCTTGTAGTTGGTTCCAAGCAAATACAAACCCAGTACACACTGTGCCAAACTACCAACAGCCAGCTAATCCAAAACTTCCAGTTAGACCCCATGCTACAGTTAAAGATGTTCCATTCTGTAAACCAACAAACTTCAAATGTTTTCACTATTTTCAGTTGGGCCATAAGTCGAATGAATGCCTGAATAAACCCCATGTTCAGATTGCCGAAGGAGACCAGATAGAGAATTGGGTTAGTCCTGATGGAGATGGTGAAGATGAGGCTGAGGATGTGGTGGATGATGAAGGTGAAGCTATTCTTTGCATCTTAGAAAAGCTTTTATAAGCTCCTCGACAACCTGTTACCACTCAATGCAATGCTATCTTTAGAACTCGTAACACTATGAATGGAAAGGTGTGTGACTTACTCATAGATATTGAGTGTATTGAGAATATTGTATTACAATTTCTTGTAATTTCTTTACAATTAAAAACAACTAAGAATCCTGGACCGTATAAAATCAGTTGGCTTAAAAAAGGAATCTATATATAGGTTACTGAAATGTGTAGGTTCAAATTTTCCATTGGGAAACATTATTCTTGTGAAGTGCTTTGTGATGTCCTTGAAATGGACATTTGCCATATTATCATAGGTCATCCCTAAAAATACGATATTGGAGCAATATATGATTGTCGCTTGAACACATATTCATTTGATTGTAGGGGAGGAAGTTAAGACTACTACCAAATGTAATAGAAACATCTGTCCGAATTAATAAAGACAAGGCTGTTCTAAATCTAATATCTGGACGTGCTATACCCATTGCTGCAAGCCTGCTACAGTTTTGCTCTTGTTGCTACTGAAATTCCACCTCACAGTGCAGATTTTCCCATGCCAGAACCGAATTCAGAATTGTTACAGAAATTCAAAGATATTAGCCCAACTGAACTACCTTCAACCTTACCACCATTGCGAGCTCTTCAACATCAAATAGACTTCATTCCAGGAGTGACATTGTTAAATCTACCCCATTACAAAATGAACTCATGAGAACACAAGATTTTGCAAGACTTAGTAGATGACCTCTTGGAGAAACAATTGATCCAACCAAGTTTAAGTCTGTGTGTTTTCCCAACACTAATTGTTCCAAAGAAGGATGGAAAGTGAAAAATATACATTGGCAGTAGGGCCATTTACAATATCACAACCAAATTTAGATTTCCCCTGCCGAGGATAGAAGATTTGCTTGATAAACTAGTTGGATCTCAGATTTTTTCAAAATTTCACCTCTGTAGTGGCTGCCATCAAATTCGTATTAGACCTGGAGATGAATGGAAATATCATTCAAGAATCGTCAAGCGCTCTATGAGTGGAAGGTTATGCTCTTTGGATGGTGCAATGCCCCGAAAACATTCATGCGGCTCATGAATGGGGAACACAAAGCTTTCCTTGGAAAATTTTGTGTTGTTTACTTCAATGACATTCTTGTCTATAGTCAAACATTTGATGAACATATTCAACATCTCACTTTTATTTTCCAAAACTTGATAAACAATACTTGAATCATGCTAAATGTGAATTTTTCACTACTCGGGTCTACTTTTTGGGTTTTATTGTGTCTATTAGAGGATTGGAAGTCGACCCTTGTAAGGTGTTCTCCATTTTGGACTAGCCAGTTTCATGCTCATTGTTTGACATTTGAAGTTTTCATGGTATTGCCAATTTCTATTGTCGTTTCATTCGTAGATTTAGTGTCCTCATGGCCTTGATAACCAATTATTTTAAGGAAAAGTAGTTTATTTGGACAACAAAACAACAACGAGGCTTTGAATCCATCAAGGTGACCTAGAGTACAGCTTTAGTTTTGGCCTTACCGGACTTTGATAACCATTTCAAGTAGACATAGAGGCTTCAGCTATGGGAATAGGGACAATTGTCACTCAGTCAGATCAGGCCATCAAGTTTTTAAGTGAAAAATTGAGCTTGACAAGGCAGAAATGGTCAGTATATAAATAAGAATTATATGATGTAGTTAGAGCACTCAAGCATCGGAAACACTACTTCATAAAGATTTTGTACTATGTAGTGATCATCATGCTTTTCAATTCATAAACAATTAGAAAAACATTAATAGAATGCATGCTAGGTGGATTCTATTCCCACAAAAATTTACTTGTGCTTTAAAACATAAATCTGGCACACAGAATTGTGTTGCTGTTGTGCTTGGTAGGCATGCAGCTCCTCTCACCCATCTCCAAGCTGAAATAACTGGTTTGCAATGCTTACAAAAATTATATTCAACTGATAAAGACTTTGCTGAAACTTGGAAACACTGCTCCAAAGCTCAGCCCCTTGCAGATTTCTCCATTCATTATGGTTTTCTATTAAAAGTGATGCCCTTTGCAATTCAGATTCATCATGGAGACACCAACTCATCAAGGAAGCGCACAGAGGTAGTCTCGCTGCACATTTGGGGTGTCAAAAGACATTGCAATAGTTCAAAGCTCATTTTTTATTGCCAAAATTACATAGATATGTTTTATGATTTGTTGAATGGCGCTCTATTTGTCAAGAGTATAAGAGAAATAGTCATAATACTGGGCTTTATACTCCATTACCTGTTCCAAAATCTATATGGGAAGATAGTAGTATTGTGTTTTCCAATTACCAAGAACTCAAAAAGAGGCTATCTCAATTATGGTCATTGTGGATAGATTTTTTAAAATGGCTCATTTTATTACGAGCAAGAAAACTTTTGTTGCTGTAAACATTGCTGGTTTGTTTTCTCAAGAAGTTGTTTGACTTCATGGGTTACCTCGCAATATTACTTTCGACCATGATGTCAATCTATTAGTCATTTTTGGTGAGCATTGTGGAAACGACTTCATGCCAAATTCAATCTCAGTCCTTCTTACCAACCTTAATCTGATGGCCGGGCTGAAGTGGTAAACTGCACCTTAGGCAACATACTTCGCTTCCTTTTCCAAGCTTGTCCAAAACAATGGGAAGACAATCTTAGTTAAGCTGAATTTGCATATATCTGTGGCTCTGAAAATTCGGCCTCGGCTTCCGCCCACTAGTGCTTTTTCTTCGGGGGTGGAGTTTTAACGGAATAAGTTCCGTGGTAAATTTTTCAAGGCAGATGGGTTTGTAGATAAGATACTACCCAGAGATTTCACCCTCATTTTGCGAGGACTTTATGATATGAGTTCTGGTTTCCTATAAGCGAAAGCCCCTAAGTTAATTACCCCTCTCAGTAATGAGAGAGAACTTTCAATTAATGCTAGTTATCAATCAGATACATGTAGATACATGTTATCTGACATATAGTAGCAGCATGGGTATGGGTATTGGAATTTGAAGGGTTGAAAGATTTGATATTTAAAATAGATATTTCATCATCTTACACTTAAAGTAGATGGCGGGGGAATATATTATAGACCCGATCAAGATCCCATGGTTCCATTGTATAGGGCCGTCGTGGTCCCTAGTTTACTTAGTAAGAGGAGGTAGTCGACCCAACCTAACAGAAAGATCCTTATCAGCAGCCAAGGGTTGCTTCGTCCAAGGGTACCTTATAGACCTGGGATGAGTATTTGTCTATGGGGATAAATTTGGATCCACCTTAGTTAACAGAGGACTTTGTGCCCTATCAATTATATCCTATTGATTCATATCTCAAGGATTTGATGCCACGAAGGAGCGTATTGGCTCTGGCCATAACCGATATTTCTTGGTGTCATTTAGCGGCAAAATCACTCAGTTCCGAGGGCCCCGGGTCATAACCCTTTTTCCTGCTGTGTCATTTTGCGACAAAACCGTTGGTTAAAGGGCACGTACCATATCCTTACTGGTAGGAGATTGGTTGAAAATGGATCATAGTGATATTTTTGACTAGGCATTAATTCTATGTGATATTCAAATTTGTCTATCTCGGTAAACTGTTGCGAAGAGTGGATGATTTTTTTGCTTTAAGCATTGGATGGTTTATTTTCACATTTAAATATTCGAGATTTGGATGATCTTTTTGAAATTTGTGTATTTTTTGATTTTTTTGAATTTTTGTGGATATGTAGGTGGAACTTAGAAGGCATTTGAAAATATTTGTGAACCCCTCCGGTTGAGATAAACATTCAACAGGGTTATCATCGGGGTGACTTTGAGGTCACTTGTATTTCACTTGAATTTTGGTGGAAGTTTGAGAACATTTTGAAATGTTTGGAGTTAACCCCTCCAGTTGAGATTTACATTCAACAAGGCTATCATTGGGGTGTGAATATGGGGTCATTTCTATTTGAAAATATTTCTATTTTATGGATGAACCATGCCAACTCTGTTGAGCTGTCAATAGAGGATCGGGTTTCTCGGGCTTCATGCCTTTGTTTGTGAATTTTCTTTGTTAAAGGCCTTGAAGGCCTAATATGAATGTATATAATAAATATTACGGTCGACTTCGTGACCATATATTTATTCGATGGTTCGGACCCTGTCTACTCCTATTTACTTTCTTAGGAGGATCGGGTTTCATAGGCTTTATGCCTTTGTTTGTTAATTCTCTTGATTATAGGCCTTGAAGGCCTAATATGAATGTATTAAAATAAATATACCGGTTGTCACAATTGTATATTTATTTGATGGTTCGAACCCTTTCAACTCCTATTCATCCGTATAGGAGGATCGGTTTTGAATCTGAATTCACTTGTTGACATGCGTAGTATCTCTAGACGTGACGTGTGTATCTATAACATGCTCGCCGGGGCCCATGCTAGTGTTTGAGGGCATTTTATGATTATTTGTTGATTGAATCTTATCGAGTCCTACTTAGTTTCTTAGGAGGATCAAGTTTCATAGGCTTTGAACTTTTGTTTGTGAATTTTCTTTGTTAAAGGCCTTGAAGGTCTAATATGAATGTATAAAATAAATATTCCAGTCGAGCTCGTGACCGCATATTTATCCGATGGTTCGAACCCTGTCTTTTTACTTGCTTAGGAGAATCAGGTTTCGTAGGTTTTATGCCTTTATTAGTGAATTCTCTTGATTATAGGCCTTGAATGCCTAATATGAATGTATAAAATAAATATCTCGGTCGACCTCGCGACCGGATATTTATTTAAGGGTTCGAGCCTTATCGACTCCCACTTTCTTGCACTGGAGGATCGGGCTCGAACTTGAATCCACTTATTGACCCGCGTAACATTCCTAGACGTCACGTGTGTACCAATAACAAGCTCGCCGGGGCCCATGCAGGTGTTTGGTTACATTTACCCCTTATGTACCTATGTGTATACAAAATACAATGCATGTATGGGATTATTTTGAGATACTTTAATTATGCAGCTTACTGCCATTTGAATATGCACATCATTCCATTTGAGAGTTTGAACAGGCCTTCTATCCACTTATATAGGTGTTGTGGATCCGGTGGCGTATTGTATGCATGATAATTTTTCTACAACCACTTGTGGGCAAACTGTAGTGTCTCTCGGCCTCTATGATCCTTTCATCAATATTCTTAGATGAATGCGATATGAATTTGCTACACCTTCTCGCATAACCGCTATGAAGAATATCATCAACTCTGACTTTGTTACATTTTGGAGCTGAATATATCCACTCGTTCGTTGAAGTCGGTATTAGAACACCATTACACTTGTTGTACATCTACCTTATATCGTAGAAGACTGAGGCATTCATCTGTATTTTGACAAGTGTTGACTGTAGGATCCTTCCATAATCACATCCCCTTGCTACATAGCTTTTAGATGGTTTCATTTGTCACAATTTCCTTTATGTTTTGCTTGTGATCTTTCATATTCATAACAATTCATTGGTTGCTATTTTCCAATAGGCTATATCAGGCATTGTTGCTTATAGATAGAATGCTGTGTATTTATTTGCAAATTAGTCATCATTTCACATTCTTCCTGCTTTGTTTGTAGACCTACTACATCATTGTGTATGATAGCTAGCAAATCACTATATTCATTACATTGCTTGCGTGTTTGAATGCATTTGTTGATGTATTGATGCTGAATGCAAAGTGTTATCATATTCGTTGTACATCAACTCTTTCTTCTTGTAGGAGACTCATGTATCCATTTAAAATTCGTTGAATTCATCGATCGTCATGTTCATCATGTACTGCTTTCCTTTGTCAGTGTATATATTATTATTTTTTTAAACATTGAACTATCGTTGATGACATAAGCACTATCACATTTCTTCATATTCATCAACCTTGCAATTCTACTGCTTGAGTGTATTACAAGTTCCTTCTCCTTGCTTGTAGCTTGATTGATTGAACATGACAATTTGCTTTAGTCTCATCGATGGATGTCAATTTTAATGCTTTGAATCACAACTTAGGAAAGTCAAATCTTTGCTCAAGTTCAAATGTTCAAGTCATGCTTAATATGCAAATCAAGTGCGACTTGAGTTTAGGTTCATTTGTGTTCAAGTCTTAGTTCCTTGAGTCATGTTCGAGTCAAGTTTGAATTTG